TACCGTTGAGACATAATCAGGTTTGTTTAGAATGACTGTATTGTCCCCTTTATCGGAGGGTTTAAAAATAACCTCATCCAGTTCTTTAAGTTTTTTAAGAGAGATATTTTCTTGAGGAGAGATGTTGCTATTAGGTTGGATTGGAAGGTCTTTTAAGTTGATTTTTTCAATTTCATTGCATGTCATCTCCACAAATAGGTCTATATATTTAAAATCCACTAAGTGTGGAGTGAACATGCTTTTCTTTTTTAGATGTGTAAAGGGGGGATATCTTACTTCGGATTCGTCATTCGCAATAAGGAGGTCAAGTGCACCCATATCTGAGACTTGTAAACCAAGATCTTTTGCCCTTTTTTCCTCTTTCATATAGTGAAATTTATGCAGAGCCAGTTTTCTAGCAAACAGGTGTATGTCCTTTGTCCAGCTAAACTTATCGAAGTCTGAGACTGGGACAAAGGACATACCCCGCTGTAAAACCTGCAACTCTGCTTGAGTCGGAGTGTATGAGGACAAATTGATGATCTGGTTATTTACAGTTGTCTTATCTAATATCTTTTTCTTCCCCTGAAGTGTTGGGGTGGTCTGCCTCTGTACCTTGTCCGTGGGGCTGTACTTTCTTCCATGTTGGGTTGGCCTAAAAAAGAGACCCCTCTTTTTAATATACTTTTTGAATTGCGTTCTGATGAGGCAGACGTACTCGCTTTAGAGGAATCTGAGTCTGAACCACTCGTCTCATATTCTGACGTTGATATTGGTTCGGAGAAACTCCTTCTTGGATTCCTATTTTTTCTATAAACATTACCACTTTTAAAGTCATTATTGTCTCTGATGAATTTGGAATGTTTCCGAATCTTAATATTTTGTTGGAATCTATCCAAATTGCTCTTAAGTTTTGTCTCTAGTGCTTCAAAGTTAGGTTCCCCTTTAAAAGCTGCAATTCTGTCTATCTGCTCATCCACTTCTTTATTAACCCTTTCCAGTCTTTTAGTTTCAAATTTACAAAGGATTTCCATAAATCTCTTGGAACATGTGCCTGCGGCTTCCTCCGACTCTTTTGTAAATTCATCCTCCTCAATATGGGAAGCTGGTATGTTCTGTACCCTTAATCCCCTCGGAATTAGATCTTTTTTAAGGTAATTGTCCAGGGATGCAATTTCCCACCCTGTTTTAATTTGTTGCTGAAATAAGTTAGTCAAACGGTTAAACGATGAGATGATATTATCACTATCTGTAAGGCTTGTAAGATCCTGTTCTGAAAAGACTTTATCCGTATCTTTACACCAGACGTCTCTTTTTGACTTATCGAATAGAAAACTGACCATGATACACAAACTGGTACTATGGTATTAAAACCAAATTATTTACAAAAAAGAGAGCAAGAAGCCATCCAGACTTGGGCCTGGTTAGTACTTGTATGGGAGACCAACTAGGAACCTCAGGTGCCATAAGTTTAAAGACCTCTTGACAAAAAGAATGCTAGCCTTATTATTATTATTTTTATTTTACGGACTAAGTCATATCTGGTCATTCAGAGGTTCATATTGTCAAGTGACTCAGTGTACAGGATATAGCGGCAGGATGTACCATGCTAATTTTGCATCCTAGCATGGGTCCTATGAACACTAAATATATTTATTATCATATATCCTTGCCTGGGACGGGGGAGTGGGAGTTAACAACATCCCAGGACCCCTTATCATTCAATTTTTCTCTTATTATTGGGGTGTCCTCTCATATTCTTTACTACATCTTTAATAGATTCAGTATTAGAATAATATGTAATCAGCACTGCCTTATATTTTCAGCTGATTCTGTACATCCTATATAGTACACATTGGTACTTTGGAATGATACATTATCAATATGCAGCTTATCAATTTAAGCCTTAATTTGGACAATTTTGGTTTCTCCATACACAGAGAATACCTAGCTCCGCCCATCTGTCACAGGGGATCAACCCATGTGAGGATGATGGACAGGAGAGGCTCGGATGGGCGGTACTGCAGCACTATGATGAATGAGCCACGCCCCGTTAGGAGAATGCCGGATACGTCACATGACGCATGACATCACAGGTCACGTGACCGGCTGAGGGATTTCCCCTTCATACAGATGAATGAGCATTAGCAATCACAGAGGAATAGCCAGGATATTAGAGGCAGCTGGGGAGGTATACACCCCACACTCCATTGGCTACAAGGTAATCATGCTTCCTGGCAATTGGGGTATTTAAGAGGCTTCTCTTCAGTTATCTGTTGGCCCCTGACGAAGGTGCATCTCTCTGCGCCGAAACGTACGTTGGGCGTTTTTTCTGCACTGGGCACTGGTGTTTGGAGCACCATGATCACCATTTAATTTAACTTTATTTTATATCGTTTTCTTCTTTTCTTTCCTATGCCTATCTAGCTAGCTTTACAGGGAGAGAGGCTTTATTAATGCTAATTATCAGTCTGTTTTTGACTGATTTTTTTACTTCTATTTTCAGTCCTTATCTCTCTCTGTTTTTCTTATTATGTTTCTAGTGTGACCAGGATACTTCCTAGGATGCATGGATTATAGAGACTTAGCTACTGTATACTCCTATCCCTATAGCAGATCACAATAAAGCTTAATTATAAGGAGGAGTGAGGTTATCTTTTTTACTACCTCTTGATCTATACTACCCTGGGCTGGCATAGGATTGTAGGTTCACTTGTATATACTTTGTTTAATTAGGGTCTCTGACCATATTATTTCTAATAGCCAGGTTCTATATTTGGAACATCGCGCTATACATAGATATATTTTTCCAGTCAATGCAGTAAGTTTCATTCATATAATTGAGACGGTCTGCATATTTCTTTGTTCTTGTGTTTATATTTGGGGTTAAGCCCCTCTGAGACAGCTGGAGTCTCATACTGGTACGTTGGTCTCTGCGTGACCCCTGCAGCCACTGCCCCCCTTTTGGGGAGGTTTTGAGGTGGTGGGTGCGGCGGCTATACAGGGACTTGGAACGTTGTGTTCCTTGTTCTCTTTTTTGTAAATAATTTGGTTTTAATACCATAGTACCAGTTTGTGTATCATGGCCAGTTTTCTATTCGATAAGTCAAAAAGAGACGTCTGGTGTAAAGATACGGATAAAGTCTTTTCAGAACAGGATCTTACAAGCCTTACAGATAGTGATAATATCATCTCATCGTTTAACCGTTTGACTAACTTATTTCAGCAACAAATTAAAACAGGGTGGGAAATCGCATCCCTGGACAATTACCTTAAAAAAGATCTAATTCCGAGGGGACTAAGGGTACAGAACATACCAGCTTCCCATATTGAGGAGGATGAATTTATAAAAGAGTGGGAGGAAGCTGCAGGCACATGTTCTAAGAGATTTATGGAAATCCTTTGTAAATTTGAAACTAAAAGACTGGAAAGGGTTAATAAAGAAGTGGATGAGCAGATAGACAGAATTGCAGCTTTTAAAGGGGAACCTAACTTTGAAGCACTAGAGACAAAACTTAAGAGCAATTTGGATAGATTCCAACAAAATATTAAGATTCAGAAACATTCCAAATTCATCAGAGACAATAATGACTTTAAAAGTGGTAATGTTTATAGAAAGAATAGGAATCCAAGAAGGAGTTTCTCTGAACCAATATCAACGTCAGAATATGAGACGAGTGGTTCAGACTCAGATTCCTCTAAAGCGAGTACGTCTGCCTCATCAGAACGCAATTCAAAAAGTATATTAAAAAGAGGGGTCTCTTTTTAGGCCAACCCAATATGGAAGAAAGTACAGCCCCACGGACAAGGTACAGAGGCAGACCACCCCAACACTTCAGGGGAAGGAAAAGATATTAGATAAGACAACTGTAAATAACCAGATCATCAATTTGTCCTCATACACTCCGACTCAAGCAGAGTTGCAGGTTTTACAGCGGGGTATGTCCTTTGTCCCAGTCTCAGACTTCGATAAGTTTAGCTGGACAAAGGACATACACCTGTTTGCTAGAAAACTGGCTCTGCATAAATTTCACTATATGAAAGAGGAAAAAAGGGCAAAAGACCTTGGTTTACAAGTCTCAGATATGGGTGCACTTGATACGCTGGTTGACCTCCTTATTGCGAATGACGAATCCGAAGTAAGATATCCCCCCTTTACACATCTAAAAAAGAAAAGCATGTTCACTCCACACTTAGTGGATTTTAAATATATAGACCTATTTGTGGAGATGACATGCAATGAAATTGAAAAAATCAACTTAAAAGACCTTCCAATCCAACCTAATAGCAACATCTCTCCTCAAGAAAATATCTCTCTTAAAAAACTTAAAGAACTGGATGAGGTTATTTTTAAACCCTCCGATAAAGGAGGCAATACAGTCATTCTAAACAAACCTGATTATGTCTCAATGGTACAAAGACTAATTGGGGATAGCAATACGTATGAAGTTCTAAAGGGTGACCCCACTAAAAAATACTTGGCAGAGTTGAAAATAATCCTTGATACAGCTTTATCTCAACTTCTAATTTCCAGGGATGAATATAATTTTATGTTTGTCAAGAATCCCGCCACTGCCACCTTCTATGCACTCCCAAAGGTACACAAACAACAACCGGTACTAAATGGGAGACCCATAGTCTCTGGTAGAGGTAATCTGACTCAAAACATCAGTCTTTATGTGGATCAGATCCTGAGGAAACTAGTCACTCAACTTCCTTCATATCTTAAAGACACGAAACACACATTAAGTATCATCGAAGGAACAAAAATTAGTGGTCACGCTATTTTATGTAGCCTTGATGTGGAGAGCCTGTACAGCTCGATTCCACATGAAGTTGGACTAGAACACCTGAAAGCTAGCTTGGACAGTAAACCAGTAATATCACTAAGACACAATAAATTCGTCCAAGATCTGATGCAATTTATCTTAACACACAATCACTTTACCTTTCAGGGAAAGTATTATCACCAGGTGAGAGGGAATGCGATGGGGACGGCTTGTGCCCCATCATATGCCAACCTCCACCTGGGGTGGTGGGAGTCTCAAATGGTATTCACGGATCATATGGTAAAATATACAAAGCATATAAAAATCTGGAAAAGATACATTGATGACGTGTTTATCATTTGGACAGATACCTCGGAACTGTTTTTGGACTTCGTCCACACTCTCAACTCCAACAATATTAATCTCAAACTGACTAGTGAAATTGGTGGCAATAGAATTAATTTTCTGGACCTCACCATCTCGCTGACAGAAGAAGGGTGCCTCATTTCAACTCTGTTCCGTAAACCAACGGCAACTAATAACTTGCTGAATTGGTCTAGCCATCATCCCCCTTCCCTAAAGAAAGGGATTCCAACTGGACAATACTTGCGCCTTAGACGCAATTGCTCTACATTGGATGATTTTAAACTAAAGGCTAAGACCTTACAACTCCAATTCAAACAAAAGGGGTACCCGAATAGATGCTTAAAACACGCTTATAAACGGGCCTTACTGTCAGATCGGAAAGACCTTCTAATCGAACATAACCCAGAGCCATCACAGGCAGTCATAAGATGTATAGGGAATTTTGATGCCGGCTGGCATCAAATGATGCAAATCTTGGACAGATTCTGGCCCCTTTTACAACAAGACCCACACTTACGGAAGGTAATCACACATAAGGCTTCAGTAACAGCAAGAAGGGGACGCAACATCAAGGACATGTTGGTCCCTAGCCATCTCAAGACTACACCCCAGAAAACATCATGGCTGAAGTCCCCAGTCTTAGGGACCTATCAATGTGGGAAATGTAAGGCATGTAGGTTTATACGTAGACCCTCCAAAACATTCCCAGACTCCCTCGGCACACAGGAATTCAAAGTAAAGAATTTCTTTAACTGTCAGTCCAAAGGGCTTATCTACTTACTTTCCTGTTCGTGCAAAAAACTGTATGTGGGAAAAACCTTTAGGATGTTTAAACTTAGGATACGGGAACATGTCAATTCGGTAAACCCCACAAGACAAATCGACACCCCTATCTCTAAACATTTGAAACTACATCATGGGGGCTCATCTGAAGGAATCAGATTTAGTGGTATTGAAAGGGTTACCTTGGGACCAAGAGGGGGGGATTTAGACAAGAAGCTACTCCAAAGGGAGAGCTTCTGGATCTATAAGCTCAAAACCCTGTCACCCTTGGGACTTAACGAAGGTTTCTCATATACACCATTTATTGCAGATCACTGATACCAGGTGTGGGACTCAGACCTATATACGGGCAGTGGTACTCGGCGGGTGATCTCTGCACTAATCTATTCTGAATGAGCCTTATGGCCTGATACACTTGTAAATTTGTAAATATAGCGCGGTTTGTTCCACAATGGGTATATCCTTTGCTTATTACTATTACTACTATTATCACTATCCTTTTCTATTTATTATTATTTTTTATATTATTTTTTATCATATAAATTTATTCTCATGATTACCGGATGAGGACCACTAAATTGCTAATGCTTGAATTCTCCCAAGGAAATAGCTATATAATGACTATAATACCAATAATGTTCCTAGACCAAGCTTGCTGAGCACTTGAATGAAAATATCAATGGCCATACCAGTCTGAAAATGCCTGATCTCGTCAGATCTCAGAAGCCATCCAGACTTGGGCCTGGTTAGTACTTGTATGGGAGACCAACTAGGAACCTCAGGTGCCATAAGTTTAAAGACCTCTTGACAAAAAGAATGCTAGCCTTATTATTATTATTTTTATTTTACGGACTAAGTCATATCTGGTCATTCAGAGGTTCATATTGTCAAGTGACTCAGTGTACAGGATATAGCGGCAGGATGTACCATGCTAATTTTGCATCCTAGCATGGGTCCTATGAACACTAAATATATTTATTATCATATATCCTTGCCTGGGACGGGGGAGTGGGAGTTAACAACATCCCAGGACCCCTTATCATTCAATTTTTCTCTTATTATTGGGGTGTCCTCTCATATTCTTTACTACATCTTTAATAGATTCAGTATTAGAATAATATGTAATCAGCACTGCCTTATATTTTCAGCTGATTCTGTACATCCTATATAGTACACATTGGTACTTTGTAATGATACATTATCAATATGCAGCTTATCAATTTGAGCCTCAATTTGGACAAGTTCGGTTTCTCCATACACAGAGAATACCTAGCTCCGCCCATCTGTCACAGGGGATCAACCCATGTGAGGATGATGGACAGGAGATGCTCGGATGGGCGGTACTGCAGCACTATGATGAATGAGCCACGCCCCGTTAGGAGAATGCCGGATACGTCACGTGACGCATGACATCACAGATGAATACAGATGAATGAACATTAGCAATCACAGAGGAATAGCCAGGATATTAGAGGCAGCTGGGGAGGTATACACCCCCACACTCCATTGGCTACAAGGTAATCATGCTTCCTGACAATTGGGGTATTTAAGAGGCTTCTCTTCAGTTATCTGTTGGCCCCTGACGAAGGTGCATCTCTCTGCACCGAAACGTACGTTGGGCGTTTTTTCTGCACTGGGCACTGGTGTTTGGAGCACCATGATCACCATTTAATTTAACTTTATTTTATATCGTTTTCTTCTTTTCTTTCCTATGCCTATCTAGCTAGCTTTACAGGGAGAGAGGCTTTATTAATGCTAATTATCAGTCTGTTTTTGACTGATTTTTTTACTTCTATTTTCAGTCCTTATCTCTCTCTGTTTTTCTTAATATGTTTCTAGTGTGACCAGGATACTTCCTAGGATGCATGGATTATAGAGACTTAGCTACTGTATACTCCTATCCCTATAGCAGATCACAATAAAGCTTAATTATAAGGGGGAGTGAGGTTATATTTTTTACTACCTCTTGATCTATACTACCCTGGGCTGGCATAGGATTGTAGGTTCACTTGTATATACTTTGTTTAATTAGGGTCTCTGACCATATTATTTCTAATAGCCAGGCTCTATATTTGGAACATCGCGCTATACATAGATATATTTTTTCCAGTCAATGCAGTAAGTTTCATTCATATAATTGAGACGGTCTGCATATTTCTTTGTTCTTGCATCATATAGAGAAGAAACAAATCCAATTGTTTTGTTAGGAGAATAATCATCTACAGCAGTTTTATGAGGGATTCTAGAAAGAGTGTCTGCCTTTTTATTCCTAGTTCCAGGTCTGTATACTAATTGGAAGTTAAATCGGTTAAAAAAAAGATTCCATCTAACTTGTCTAGCTGAAAGGGTCTTATTAGTATAGAAATATTCGAGATTTTTGTGATCTGTATTAACCACTATGGGGTGTTTTGTATCTTCGAGGAGATGACGCAATTCTCAAAAGCAGCTTTAACACTTAACAATTCTTTTTCACCAATTGGATAAAAAAATTTCAGCGGAATTCAAGGATCGTGAAAAAAAAGCAACTGGATGGAGCGGATCCTGAGGTGTTTGTGTTGAGAAAGCACTGCTCCGATAGCTGTATCTGATGCATCTACTTCAAGAACATTTAAGAATGTTGGATTAGGCAGTTGAAGAATGGGGGCAGTTGTAAATCTTCTTTTTAATTCGTTGAAGGCTGATTGTGCATTTTCATTCCAATTAAAAGAACGCTTACTGCTGTTAAGGAGATTAAGTGGATGAGATATATCTGAATAATTTCTAATAAATTTTCTATAGAAATTTGCAAACCAAAGAAACCGTTGCAACTCTTTTGTACTAGTAGGAACTGGCCAGTTAATGATACACTCAATTTTGGAATTATCCATCTTCAGGGAATGAGGTGAAATAATATATCCTAGAAAAGAGAATTCAGTAACTTCAAAAAGGCATTTCTCGGGTTTAGCGTATAATTTGTGTGTTCTCAATCTAGGTAGAACCCATCTTACATGCTTCCTATGTTCGTCCAGATTGTTGGAATATATTAAGATATCATCTAAGTAGATAATAACACAGAGAAGGGGGCGGGGCAAAGCGCCGTCAACCCGGAAGTGGCTTAATTCGGCGAAACCCGGCAGGTCTAACCTGACAGTTCCAAACCCTCCCGATCCCATTACGCGGCGCAGACTTCAAACAACTACAAACCAAGATTGATAACTTAATTTGGGCCAATAGATGCGCCACCGACAATTATAATGGCAGGCACCAGAACACTTACACCCTTTGAAAAACAATGCTTAAAAACGCGTACACAACAAAGCCAGATTTTGGCGTTAGACTCCCACATAATACAAAACATAAAAGACAGGGCACTCACATATGTGTCGGCCTGGGAGAGAGACATAGACCCGGAAGACCCATCCGACTGGGCCGAAATATGGGAAGCCATAGCTACCATATCAATATGTGTTAACTACAAAGAGCAGGCCTATAAGACGATTATGAGGTGATATATCACTCCCCTAAAACTCAAACAGATGGGCAGGTCAGATGACGACCTATGCTGGAAAGGCTGCAGACAGCCTTTCCAGCATACATCCACATGTGGTGGGAATGCACCCACACACAGTACAGCTATGGCAACAAATTGCATCCATGGTCTCCCAGATCCTACACACAGACATACCACTTGACCCATGGATATGGCTTCTATCCATACCTTTGGCAGACACACCAAGAGCCCAAAACAAACTAATTGCACTGGCCACAAGGAGATCAATAGCCGAAAAATGGGGAAGCCCAGACACACTGACAATAGAAACAGTCAAACGAAAAATAAAAGACACCATTAAGATGGACGAAATGTCCGCATTGGTCCATGACACGACCAAACACTACAATAAAATTTGGGACCCATGGTTCTATGAATTCCCAACCATACCCTGACCATTAAGGGACCACTCTCACACCAAGGCACAGACACACAGCGAACGAAACACCAAACTGACCCAACGCCCCCAACCTCCCACTCCGGCCCCCTCCCCCCACCCCTCACACCAACAAACACCATACCTCACAGACACACAACATACCCCACCACAATACACGAAAACACAACCCCGCAGTACACCCACCATAGAAAAACCCGAACCTCCAAAACCAACACCTTCCACATCACTCATTAACGGGCTGAACACCTACACGGGAATTCCAAAACCCCCTTGAACACCCAAACCAGCTAACCCATCTCGCGAACATAGCAACAACGTTAGGGAAAAGACAAAAAAGCGGGAAAGAAACTCTTAGGACACCCAGAGAACAGAAACGCATCAACCTATACTAACTAGGACTACTCAGACCACATTCAGTAATCCATCAGGACCCAAGTCACCACAACAAAAACACTCTAAACACGAACACATCTCCGCAACAACCAGAGCCGAGTCACAACCGCAAGACCGCGCCCACACTCACACCTCATAACAGTCATGCACCCAAAGACCGAACCACACAACACAGACTCAGAAGCCGCAGGAAAACTAACAATCGAAGCACACACAAACCCCCATCCTACCTTCTACCCCGCAACCCCGAAGAGAAGTGATGCAACCCCAAACCTCGAATACCCGGACCACATAAAACCACAACCCAAAGTTGCACTATAAACTCAAAACAAAAATGACTGAGACGAAAGATAGCTGGACTAACTACAAATGAAATTACAACAGGGCACCCGACCCCCCTCCCTTATTCTTTCTGTAACCTACTCCAACCTACAGAATGTAGAACAACAAAGCTGGAAAAACATAGAAGTAAATGTATTATAAATGACAAACTCTGTAATTAAAAAAAATGGATGTAAATATTTGCATTGACAAAAAGTATGCCACAACAGACCCATGCTTATGATGTGAAAACTACAAATGCTTACGCCCTGTTTTCCCTTCTGTACCCCCCCAATACAAAAATCTTTCAAAATAAAGAATTTATAAAAAAAATTTAAAAAAAGTCACCGCCAATAGTAGAATTCTTGCAAAGTACCAGGAGCAGAGGAAACTAAAAAAAATAATAAAGAAAACTGTAGTTCCAGGAAAACAGTTTTTTTCCTACCATTATAGCTCTGTATATTGACCCCCTCATGGTACAGAAGTGGTTAAAAACACCTTCTGGCACCTTACCTGGCTCCAACACCGATGTCCCTTGGTAATCGTTCAGTCTAGGCCTCTGCTCCTCCCTTCACTGACGTCAGCTGATCCCCACACTCGCATTAGGACTTCCCCCATAAGGACTTCCTCAATAAGAAAGCATTGGGTGACGCTGGATGTCCTCATGCATAGCGTTAGGACGTTCAGCATCAGTTAGGCAACCAAAAGTCGTCTAATGACCCAGAAGTCCCTCTAGTGGCTGTCTGTTAGACAGCCACTAAAGATGGAGTTAATCATGGCAGGTAATTATTGCAGTTTATTAAAAACTGCAATACGTACCACTGCAGGGTTAAGGGACCTGGTACACTGCAACCAAGCCATTTCAATGAGCTTAACTGGTCTCAGTGCCTGTAGTGTCCCTTTAAAATCGCAAAGAACAAAAATACCTAAATGCATATGGCAAATTACAAAGTATATATAGACCAAAATACTTTATCAGATAGCAAATAAAACAATAAAATAGTTTCCAGCAATATACACAACTCTTTTCTGGGAGTTGCTTCTGGGATAAAAACGAAAAATGTAGGTGTTCATTTATTACCACTTTATAAAACTGTAATGTGCACAATATTTTGGGGAACCTTTTGTCAGTTTACTCTTATATTACTTTGTTTTTCAGAGTACATGTTGTAATTAAAGTGGTAATCCCATCCCACCTTCTGAAATATTTGCTTATTATTTTATTTTTTGAGGCCTCAGCTTTAGCAGATGGCCTTCTGTTATCAGTGAATATCATGCACAAATTTCAGATCTACCATTCTTACAAAGACCTTAACATTAATATGACAAAGTCTGAGATCCTAGGTAACAGTATCCCGATGCTCTGCATGGCCAACTGAAGCAGTGATTCATTCTTCATTCCTGAAGTATCTAGATCAGGCTTCCCCAAACTATTAAGGATGATCTGCTCCGTTGGTCACTGTCATATGTGACCACACCAGGCTGCTTTAGCATACTAATAATTAATGCTCTTCCTAGCTTACTTATGCTCTTTCAAACCTTGCCTATTATCATCTCTGTCTCATAATTCGTGGCACTCAAATCTATTTTATACAGTTTTCATAGGACAATAAACCCCCAAGATTATATTTTAGCATTCTCTTGCATGCTAGGAGGGGTGGAGAGCTTACAATGCCATACTCATAACATTATTGTAGAATCTCTCACTTACTCCGTCTGGTGTAGTGGAGCACAACCCCTCAGCATAAATTGTGGACCACTCAAGAACATTTAGAAGTGCAATGGTTATTGTCAGGATAACATGGCTGCGATTTAAATGGGATGAGGAACATTGGATACAATTTATAGATATCCTTTTCTGGATACCTTAATTGTGCTAAGCTACCCAATAGCCCGAATATCTTTCCTAAAATGAAAACCATACGTCTGAGTCTCTCACAATGTGTTTAATGCAGCATTATCTCTAATTCCCTGTAATTGGAAAAAGTTCTACCCCACCCACACTCCACGAATGGTTCTCGCTGGCTGTGCATATCCGTTTGATGGATGAATTACCATGTATCAGGAACATTTAGCATTCCTTAATATTCTTTAAGAATATTCCCAGTACCATGGCCCCTCCTGGATGTCAGGTAGAACAACACCCTATCCTGGACACTCATTAACTTATGTCTCAAAGGGGCTGAAAAGTTTATATCCCTCCTCATTTTATCAGGAGGGCAGCTTAGAATTACAGATATATCATTATTACTATATGGTATATTTTATAGCAAATCACCTATACCATGTTAGCTTTGTGTATTTTACCCACAATGCTATTTTCGTAGAGACTTTTATATATTTTCCTTATCCTTCCTGTTTGTTCAGCCCTTATCCTGGGCAAACTTTGTTGACCTGCATAACTCATTACTGGTACATTTTCTATTGAAACACATATTGTAATACTTGTCACCACATATATGTATTGTTTGCACTATGAAAAATATTTCAATACGCACTGAAATACGTAAAACAAGGCAAAGAAAAAACTGGTCTCAAATGTAAATAATCATAAAACCTGATAAGTGGTTAACACTGTTACTGATACTGATATTGTGCAAATGACAATGTTAGACATCCTATGGTGTATTGTAATTCCCCCCCTCCCCTTAATATATACAATATACATGCTATTGCAGTTACAATGAGATCTCAAGAAGTTGAAATACTGCAGAATATCCAGCTCAGAGGCATCAGCATGTTAATTTAAGAGAGAACTGTTTCTATTTACAACACAGTTGGACTCTCCCAGTCAAGACAGGACACAGTAATATTATTTGAAGAACTGCATGAATTGTAGTTTATCAAGCTTCCAAGAGGTGGGAACCCACAGTCCTTTTTATGTAAAGTAAATTGCATTTGTATATCTGTAGTAAAGTTAAAAAAAAAATTCTATTGAAATCTTTCCTGTAAGTATGGGGGACCCTTGTTATATGTGGTTACATTTTATACATATTGGTACATCTGCCTAACATACAGTATTAAAGACTAATAATTATATTAAAGGAACACTATAGTGTCAGGAGTACAAAACATGTATTCCTGGCACTATAGTTTTAAAATAACAGTTTAGGTGCCCCACATCCAAGACTTTCCAATACATAATATAATTGCTTAACCTATTTCCATTTTCTCCAGTAGTGGCTGTTAAGTCACTTTACACCAGTTTATTCACAGTGCTTTTACTAGATACACTGAAGGCCACAAGTGCCACTAAGCAAATGTCATATAATTCCATACATCTGTGGGAGGGGTAAAAGAGGGCAGACCATTGGTGCAATGTGTGTCTCTGGCTCTGCCCAAAGAGACAAGTCTGTCTGTTGAATTGAAAGTTCAGCTACCATGAAGGCATGCCAGACTGCCTGCCAATAAGTAGGCCAGTCTACCAAGGGAAACCCTACAGGAAGCAAGGCCTTCTTTACTTCCTGTTCACGTTAAGACTTTTGTTCTCTCATTCATCTCTTGCGCCACATTCCTCATTGTAAATGTGTAAAGCACTGCAGAACATGTGGATGAATGAATGAATCTTAACTTCTATTATAATAAAATATTTTGGCCATAGGCGTCCTGCCACACCTTAATATTGCACAAATATTTCATGAGAAAATGTATTTTTAAGTGGTCTTTTCTGTGTTTTGGTGAGTGTTGCTGGTTTAAACAGGTTTTCTCAGGTTTTATTATCGTTTGAGTGTTTAGCAATCATGGCAATTTTATATAGAAAAAAGGGAGAAAGGTAACGCCGATAATATATTCATACTGTTAATCTATAAAAAAAAAAAATTGTATAAAAAGACTATTATAAAATATAATAAATAGCAGATAAAATGGTAAAAAAAAAGTCCACAATAATGTCCAAAATAAATATAAAGTACAACTTGCAAGGAAACAGACCAGGTCACAGAAGATATCCTTTTTGTGCAAAATCTTGGGTCAGAAGTGGCTTGCAGTTTGTGTGAATTTATAAAAAAAGCAGAAAAAGGAATCCATTGGTACAGTACATCCCAATCAACTTAACTGGACTTCAGGGAATGTCCCTATGATGGGTCACCCCCCCAGGGACGTATTAGCCGCGAGGCAAACATGGCATTTGCCTTTGGTGGAACTTTCCAGGGGGCGGGGAAAAAAGCCGCCCCCAAATGCCTAGGGCAGCACTGTCACCCCCTCCTTAACATACTTTTAAATTGAACTAGAGTGTTTCCCTAATAAACTCCAGAGAACAGTTTTTTTGATCAATATAAAAGTGTTTCCTTTATGTCTTGATAAATGACATCCTTTCAAATCATGTAGATTTATATATAGCACTACCTCTGGGGTTGGCCTTATAAGGAAGAAATGTCCACTAGTAAGGACCCATCAACGACTACCCAATTTTGGCATCTGAACCAGGAAGTAAGGACCACAATTATCTACAATCACCCTCAGTAAGTTGCAAGCACGGGAAATGTGTGTTTGATTTTTATATTATTTTTCTATTTTCTTTTAACCCAAAGTTCCATGAATTTTCTGTGCAAAGCTTACTGTTAAAAATAGCAGAGTAATTCTGTCTGTTGTCTCTTTTGTCAACTTGTTATGTGTTGTTAGGTTTCTAACTTTTTATATCAACATGTGTTTTTTTTTCATATACATTATTGCCAACACCATTTTTAGTTTCTTTACTGGCTTGCATTTAATGTACCGTGCCTTTGAGAAATTATCCAGACCCCTCACCATTTCACTTTCGTCACTGACTTACCAATTGTATACTGAAATTAATTTTGTTATGATATTTTATTGTAACTCTTAATTCAAAATTAAATATTCGTTAAAAAAAATATTTATATTGGAAAATTTTTGTAATTTAAATTTTGACACAAACAGCATATTAGAATTTTTATGTGTCTTGTAAATCTGTACTCTATAAACTTCAGTATACACAGACGAAGACAAATTGCATTAATAAATGCACAATTATGTTTGTGAACCATTCATATGTTACAACATATTCAGCTAATATGGGAGAAAACACTCAGAGCTTCGAGAAGGATAACGTAAAATAATTTAGCAAAATGATGCAGGGAAGGCCGTAATATTGTATCAACCTGATTGATGAAAATACATTATTATCTTACATTTTACCTTAACCACTTGAACATAAAAATGTTTAACGTATTAGGAATTCACATCATTTGGTTTTCTTTTGAGGGTTTTTCTTGGCAGGAATTTATTATATTCTTAATGTACTACTGTAGAAATATTTAACACGATCACCTGATAAGAGACACGTGGTGCAAGTTCACTTACACACAAATACATCCGAAGACACACACAGTGACACATCAGATGACACACAACGATATAGCACGTTTTAGTAACACACAGTGATACATCAATAGACATATCATATATTTTATACGAACACACACAAAAAGAGGACTTGTTGAGTTTATTGTTTTTTTAATGTTTCATTTTATAGAGTAACCTTTCTTCAGGACAACAGAAAAAAAGAGAGGGAGTCTTTACACTTGTCAAAATTATTCTATACTAATAGTGCATATTAAAAGGTTAAAGAAAATGGTAGTCAACCATAAGCACTACAAAATACTGAAGTGGTTATGGTGCTACATATAACCTTTTAAAGAAACTAGTGGACAGTGATAAGTACTACCTAAGTCTATTGACCAATTTCAGAGCCAACCACATGTGTATACATTGTGTACATTCTGCTCAAACACAACATGGCATGACTTTGATTTTGTGCATATATATTAAAGTATTTAATTCTTCAAGTTTTAACAATATTCCATAAATAAGTGTGTGGTGTGTCTGTGTATATATATATATATATATATATATTACACAATCCATACTCTTTTTAATGCATTAAATAGACCACATTTTTAAAAAACAAACATATAAAAATATATTTTCAACATGCTTTCTGCATCTTACACAGTGAAAATATTTTCACGAATTTCACAAAGTTCATTTAAAATGCAATGTTCATTTTCTGGATAATCCAACTATGTTTATAGAAAATGAGAGGTAGTGATAATGCTACGAGAAGCATAACTTTTACGTGGCTTCTAGATTGACCTTGATTTAGTTACGAATTGCATTATGGTCTTTCGGAACAGCAACAAATCTTCGTCTTTTGAGGATCCCTGGAACACCAAATCTGTTGTCCCATAGATACTCAGGAGAAAGAATCTTGGTTGGTTTGTGATACAGAAAATATTTGTTTATATAACTCTCATCATGCCAACGGGCTTCAATATTTTTCCCCATATCGGTTATCATGGCATTGTGGCAGTAGTTTGTTAGTTTGTAAACCTCTTCTAATGTACCCCCAAAGAAGCCTCCGGCATAGTAAAAGTCTCCCTCATCATCTGGAATGTAGGCTTCAGATTCTGGTCTCCTTTCATAGGTGAAATGCTGTCGAGATGCTTCATAAAAACTAGGATGCATGGTCCCAAATAAATCACTAAGAATTTCCACTCCGACATCGTCGCTGAACTCCATGTCCACATCCACACAAACTAAGTAATTAACCTCATTAATGAATCTCTCTTGAGTGTAATTTCGAATCATTTCCATGCGCCTCATGGACACTTCCTGCCATCTTTCATAGCTAGGAACCTCGAGAATGATCACACGTCTCCCTTTGTTAAGAGTAAAGTTATTCTGACGAACGTCCTCCGCTCGATCGGTGAATATGTAGTAGTTGACATCAAATCCCGCCATAAAGAATTTTTCAGCAGTTTCAACAAATTTTTTGACAAACACAATATACCTAAAATACAAGTAAAATTTTATTTACATATAATGGAGACAAGTTAAAAGGTAGTTAGATCAATACATAAGATATAGATAGATATGACCTCCTTATTACTAAGGATGGTGGAGATTAGCCCTGTATATGCGCAGTAGGTTGAAGCCCAATTAGTCATGACTTTTCAGGTATGCTGTCAAGTGTAGGATGGTATGTACTTGGCAGACTCAGAGTTCCCAGGCTTCTAGCCTGCATATCAAAATATAAAAATATATCCAGTTCACTGGTTCGGTAGGGTCAAAGGAACCCCGAAAACCTTAAAAATTAATATACCCAGAACTGTTACTGTTGCCCTTAAACCTTTATCTTCTGCCAATGAAAATATAAGCATTACAAATGTATATATACATATTAGCAACTATCAAAAATAACTTTTAAACTTAATAAATAATTAAAAATAACTATTAAAAATTCCGATTCAGATGCTTGTTTCATGCCACAGGCTTGCTCAGGGCCAGATGAAGAGTCTGTTAGGCCTAATGCTGAGAATTATGATGAGCCTAATGACAGTATATTATCGACAGAAAACAGTAAAACAGTTATACCTCCCAAGCGTCATGTATCTTCTGGAGGTGGTGCCGGAGGGAAACTCACAGGAAGCATTTATAAGAATACACATACCCTATGCTAATCTCTTGCTTTCATCTCTCCACCAAATCCACATCCCTAACACTGGCGTCCTGTGAAGTGGGGCACTGGTGGACGGGGTTGCAAAAACATTTTGGGATATTTCACGATTGCAACTGTATTAAATACTGGTCAAAATTCTGAAACTATTAGCAATTAAATATTGATGCTCAGTTGTAACTAACTCCTAATTAGTTGCCTAATGTAGATTTGATTTTATAGGTGGCCCTTACATTTATTTGGAAATCAATCAACATATACGGCTTAAAGTAGTGGTCTTAGTACTACGAAACTATGAATGCTGTCTGACAATTTGTGTAAAACTTTGGTAGAATCTATAAAAAAAGTAAAAAATTAAGAACTATAAAAAAATTAAATGGCCAGAGCCAGTGGCGTACACATGGCCCATGGGGCCCCGGTGCAAAAATTGATCAAATTGGGCCCCGTCTTAGCCAGCCCGGGCTGGGCATAACTACATGGCCCGATTGGGCACCTGAGTAAGCGGGGGTTACAGGGCTCGCGACCCGCAAACTTCCAGCCGGTATTATGTAAGCCAGTGCATGCAGATGCACACACGCAAAAAGGTTTCTGAACGCAGATCCCGCATCAGCTCAATGAAGTGGTCTGGGTGCCAGGTCCCTCTAGTTTTAAACCTGCAGCTGAAAACATAGCAGTTTCAGAGAAACTGCTATGTTTCACTGAGGGTTAATCCAGCCTCTAGTGGCTGTCTCACTGACAACCGCTACAGGAGCACACTGAACGTCCATAGGAAAGCATTGAGTAATGCTTTCCTATGGGCGGTTTGAATGCGTGCGCGGTCGCATTCGGAGCTGAGAGGCTGAGGGATCCCCAGCGCCAAGGGAGTCCGGCGCTGGAGAAAGGTAAGTGCTGAAGACACACACACACTCTCACTTACAGACGCATACACACTAGCTAACAGACACACATTTACTGACAGAGACACACTCAGCGACAGACATACATACACACTCACTTACAAAACATACACTCTCATTGACAAACACACACTCACTAACAGACATCAAACAGACTCACTAACACACACACACACACACAGTAACACTCACTGACACTCACTAGCAGACACACTCTAACACTCACTCTAACACTCACACTTAATCTAACACACACACTAACACACACACTCTAGCACTCACACACACACACACACTCTAACACACACTCTAACACACACACACACACACTCTAACACTCAAACACACTCTAACACACACACACACACACACTCTAACACACACACACTCTAACACTCACACACACACACTCTAACACTCACACACACTAACACTCACACATGTTTTTTTTTTTAATGTAATCCTCCCAGCCTCCTTACCTTTTGGAGTGCTGGGGGGATTCCCTGGGGTCCAGTGGTGCTGCTGACCCCAGCTGGTGGGTGGCCGGTCGGGCAGGCGGGCGCGCGAGGGAGCACTCAGTGCCTCCTCTTCAGCTCCCTCGCGCGCCGCGTAGGGATGCCGGAGCCGGAAGATGACGTCATCTTCCGGCTCCGGTATCAGTGCGGTGCGCGAGGGAGCTGAAGAGGAAGCAGTGAGTGCTCCCTCGCGCGCCCGCCTGCCCGACCGGCCACCCGCCAGCTGGGGTCAGCAGGGCCAGCCTCGGGGGGCCGGCTCCTGGGCCCCCCAGGGGAAGAGGCTGGCCCAGTGGCTACATACCGGGTCGCAGGGGCGGCCGGGCCCCCTGGTGGGCCGGGCCCGGTCGCAACCGCGACCCCTGCGACCCTGGTATGTACGCCACTGGCCAGAGTGCAAACCTCTAAACGTTTTACATCATTTTGAGAAATTCTTAATCCCTCATCGTTTATCCAGACAAATTGCAATTGATCCTTTACTGTAGTACCATAACAACACAGGGTACTTATGTTGATGTTAAAAGGGACAGCAACAAAGGGCAGAGGTGATTAACTTTGATCCAGGCAAAACTTCATTTTAGTGAAGTGATTTCTGCAGCCTTGTAAATAATGCCGTCCTTGAGATGCAACATTATTAGTGGTTATCATTCAGAAAGCCACTAGAGACTTCAGACAAAAATAACTTCAATAACGGAATTTTTCCAGTGATGGGGTATGTGTCCATTGCTTCTCTATGAGAAGCTCGATGTCTTATAGAGAAGTATTTAATAGACAGATCACATCAATAGCTGTTCATGCCCTGTATGTCCATGATGCTTCTCTGTGAGCTCTCGAAACAACTTCATTGTTTTGTGGAAAGAGAGTCCCTTTAAGTCATCATGGGGTCCCAAAATATTTCCATGTCTTGTTCCATGTCCCTGATATAATTTATACTGCTGATGTCTAGAACATTTACCTTAGACCTATTTTTTTATCTTCATTAAATCAACATTACTTACTTTTTAATGGCAAACACTGTAATTCCGATGCGGACTCCTCGCTGATGGAACTGGGCATTCAGTATATCGATGTTGTAGGTGCTGTTCCAAACAATGGGGGCAAACCATGGGGTCATCATTAGGACATCCGTTCTCCTATAAATGGTATTGATTTTACATAGAGAATTAGAAATATTGTACTCTCTTTTTATATAACATCACAGATTATTTGGCTTATATTATTTCTGGTTGAATAAATCACATGACGAACATTTTTTTCCACTCAGTGCTTGTATCACACAAAGGGGAAAGAAAGGAGGAGTGAGTTGATTTTGTTTGTCGAGTCAACTCACTCATGTGCCATGATATAAAAGTAGCTTGCCAATGGTGGGGGCTGCACCCCTAGTTTTTGTTTTGTTTTATTTTAAGGAGGGCATGCAAAGACTGTTATGCCCAGTGGGCATGGTTCATCGTCCATTGTTAAGTTATTATCAATTAATGCGTTGTATATTTATTATTTTATTGTAAAAATATCGTTAACTAATGTGATGTGTATAGTAGTGGATGCATAGAATGGTTACCCAGTAGAGGTGATGTGATTAATTACGGCATGGTCAGGGTTAGTTTGGAAGCTGTTGACTAAGACCTGTGAGGTGAACTGTTTCTTAGAAGCAATGGGTTACATTTTATTCATGTCTGAAAAATTCCCTAAAATGATACTGTAATGAAGGAATATTTAATTTTCCTGTTGTAAACCAAACAGTGCAGAGGAGTTTTTTAAACAGAGCAGAGGATTTATTACTGGATCAGCTACATCTACATTTTAAGTTCAGCGAAGAGTCATTCCCTTAAAATTTGGAAGAGATTTTAGATGCTAATTTATTTTTTGTGGCATTATATATAAAATATAAAATGTTCGGCCTCAAATTAATTGTCTGGATTCACCGAGATGGTCTGACCTGGCTACAAAGATTTTGCAAGCGTCTGTACATAAGTGTATAGCATAGTGTGTTTAGAGTTAGGTTTTGGAATATATTAAATGCCTCTCATAAAACTGAAATTTCTGCAACCCCTGGTCCCTCCTCAGCAAGCTAGTTTGGAACCTGGGATGAGCAGAAAAGTGTATATAAAAATCTTTTAAAAACCCCATTCTGGGGTCAAGAAGGACTTTTTTTCCTAGCTTGTTGCAAAATTGGAAGTGCTTCAAACTGGGTTTGTTTGCCTTCTTTTGGATTAACAGCAAAAAAACAAATGTGAGGAAGGTTGAACTTGATGGACACAAGTCTCTTTTCAGCTATGTAACTGTGTAACTATGTAAAGATCTTTATAGTCCATTTTGAGAGCCAAATTTGTTGTTTACTGGTGTTAATTTCCCTGTGTGATCCTAATATTAAAGGGAAAATGTCACTCATGTACAACAGTCTGCCAACTTGAAGGAAGAAACTCATCAACAGGGTGCATGACTGGTAGCAGAAGAGACAAATGCTGGCAACTTCCTACTTTCTGCCCTGCGGCCTTGGTGCAAGAAATTGTTTTGAGCCCAACTCTACTGCAATGCAGGCCAAAAAGTAGATTGTCAGCTGTTGTGCGTCTTCCACTATTCTTTGCCAGCTGGGGATCTAACATTTGCCCTACCTAAGCATGTTTTTTGTATGGGGTACATGCATGTGAACACAGGAGTGTATTTATGTGTAGTGTTTGCATTTCAATGCAGGGGTGTGTTTATGTGTAGTGTTGGCTTTAATTGTTGGAATTTAAATGTTAGTGAGTGTGTGTGTGTGTCTGTTAATGAGTGTGTGTGTGTCTGAGTGTGTGTCTCTGCAATTCATATGTACTGGATACTATGAATATTCATATATAGATATTTCACTTGGGCACTTAAGGCACTGTTGGTATTTTATTAGCATTTATTATAACATTTGCACTAGGATTGCAGTTTTGTAGAACTGTGTATGTATTGTATTTTTTATGAATCTCTTTTTGAACTGTAGTTATATGTTTTACCCACTAGATGGCAGACATTTTTATAAGATTTCACTAGAGTTTTTATTATATATCTTAGCCACTAGATGGCAGTAGTGTTTTCTATATGGAGTTTTGTAATTACTAGATTAAGTTTGTGAATACACCTATCTTGATATTGCTTTGTTCGTTCACTTATATGAGCACTGGGTAATCATGTATCACTTTTTATTTATTAGCATGATCATTTATATTAGTTTGTATTCATTTATTTTTTTTAATTTATTTTGATTAATATGTGAAGTTTTTATGAATTAATTAAATATATGAGTTTTTTTATTAATATATGAATTGATATATACTATTAACAAATACATTTTTTTCTGTGATGGTCTCACAATACAGTATATTGTCAAATAGTATGATTCCCCGTGTGCATTGTATTATTCCCGACTGGCCTACTCTAGGTGTTATTTAGTTGAGGCCATAGTCATCTTTTTTTCTTTTTATTATGGTCTGCCCCGAGGAGTCAGTTTATCTCCTTGGTTATGGGAGGCATATTTATTGTATTAGCCCTGGGTTCCCGCATTAGGTAACACGTGAAGTCATGCAGTTTCTGGTCCCAGTCATGAGATCTGTTTATTTGGCTATGGTGTCAGCCATCATCCACAGGGAGAGATAGACACTTCAGGTATTTTTCGCAACTGATTGACATGTTTTGTTTTATATAAAGTTAATGTATGTCTTTCCACTTTATGTACGTGTATATATACTCTGTTATTTGCTTTTAGATAATGGCTTAAGAAAGATCACGATTAGTGACCAAAATGTTGGCAGTGTGACATGTTCTAATAAAAGCCTATTGTCCCTTTCCCTAGCCCCCATAAATTGGGCACTATGAATATGAATTTTATGGCCCCCATCCGTCACCCATGTGCCGGATGCATCTGGTTTACCATCAGCGATGTGCAGTCATTGATACATCTCCGAATCAGGTGCTGTAAATTGGTTCAGATGTGGAAATTAGTGATTTTCCAAATGCATTTAAATTAATTTTACAGATTCGGTTGATTTTACCAAATCCTGACCCCATTTGGCTTCCATAAATCTGCGAATTGCCAATGTGGTCGGAATTCAGTAATTTTCACCAGGTTTTGTCCATTTGGATAATGTCCAGTGGTTTTGTGAATAATCCTACTAAAGTTTTAAATTCACTGTAAATTCTCACAAATTCTAACTTTTAGTAAGTAAACAAAAATTTTTTTGCACTCCTTAAGAATATATAAAAATATTTTATATTGTAAATTAACCAAACTCACACAGGTTTCACGGTGTCCGGCTTGTCGTACAACATTCTGAAAACAAAAAACAAAAACAGAAAAATAGAGCATATTTGAATTAATATTTAAAGCTTGAATTAGAAGTACAAAAGTTGTTCAATATTCCTCTGGATTGGGGTATATATAATAGATTTGTTTTGATTATTTTAGAAAATAGAAATATTAGATTCATCAAACTGATCAATAAGAAAACTGGATTTAAATCAACGCTATTGTTTCATTTCCCCATGTTACCTTGAATATGAGGAAATTAAACAATGAAATAAATATTATGAAAAACAAGAATACATACACTATTACATGAAATAAAAACTTATTGTGAGATAAGTATAACAAATTGAACTTTTAGGCCAAAATAGCTGAAATTGAAAGAGCCCCTAGCCCATCTATTTTTCCTGCACCATTTGACATGAATAGGCAAAAATGTATCTGACATGATCATAAGACATATGAATAGATTTTCACTGAACATATCGAGGGCTTTAGGGAATCGGCTATACACACAATGTTGGTAAAATGGTCAGTCGTGGTCTCCATAATTCATATTAAAAAAAAGGGGTGTATTTACCCAGAGGCAAACAAGGCATTTGTCTTGGGCGGCACTTTCTAGGGGGTGGCACAAAAGCCGCCCCCTAAACACCCTGTCAAATGCCTTACCAGCCTCTTGTCCTGGGGGACCCAGGAGCTGGCCGGGCGGCCACCTCAGGGCACCCCAGGCTGGCAGCGGCGAAGCTTTCCATTCGGGTGGCGAGGGAGCACTAATCCTCCTGTTCAGCTCCCTCGCGCGCACCGCAGTGATGCCAGAGCTGGAATATGACGTTATTCTGCATCACTACACAGCGCGAGAGGGAGCTGAACAGGAGGATCAGTGCTCCCTTGCTGACTGCAGTCACCGGCCGGCCACCCAGCAGCCCAGCAGCCCCACTGGACCCTAGGGAAAGTGTTAATCCACCCCAGCATTCCAAAGGTAAGGAGGCTGAGGGAATTGAATTTTTA